AGAAAATGTTTACAAGATAAATAACAGCTAAAAAGTTTAGAACAAACAATATAAAAATAACTCATAAATAAAAACAGAAAAGATAAACACTCCAAGGGAGAAATTGGCAAAGGATGTAAATAGGAAATCCACCAAAGGGAAAAATACAAGTAGCCAAATACATATAAACCATCTAAATAATTAGAAATTCTAATAATTAGAAATAAATTCTAATAATTAGAAAAATAACAAGTATAAGAATAAACCATTTCCACTTATCAGATTATCACTTTTTAAAAGTTGTATAATATTGAATTTGAAGAGAATTCAGCATCGAAATATGTATTCTCATGTATTATTGCCAATTGGGACATCAATTTTAGTCTTTTTGTGTCTATTAGAATAAGGTGTTATTCTAATCCTTAGGAATCTTCCCTGGGTCCATCTCTGCAATGTGCACAGATGTTCGCTGCAGTTTAGCTTTTGATAGTGAAAAAGTAGAGACCCATTAAGGGCCCAAAAGATAGCATAGGATTAAAAATCATGCCTTGCATGCTGCGAACCGAAGTTTGAAACCTGAGGCACCACCTATGATCCCCTTAGCACCACTGAATCTCCACCTCTAAAAGGTAGTAGAAACCACTTCAATGACCACCATTGGTGGAATGAAAATAACTGGGTTCAAACTATATATCAACTATTAGGCCACGGGTTGATATGAGTCGAAAGAGACATAGAAAAGAGTAGCTTTGGGAAAAGACTAAAAGCAATTTCAGACTTAGTTACCAAATTGTAACTTCACTGAGAAATGCTCTGCCCTAGACTATCTTTTCTTCTAGTTTGTCTTCTAGACACTTAGGAGCTGTAACGCCTCATGTTCAGACTCTCTGGGAGAAAGGGTTGTTATAGCACTTCGGAACTATGAAACTTTTTGAATTTTTCTGAAAATGATGAGCCTCTTCCTAGGACAAAATTATGTAAAATATGCAGTTTCTTAGTTAATAAACTGTCTTTTTACAATGGTGATAGACTCTTATAAAAATGGAGAGGAAAGTGTAGCATTTCCCTGCGCCCCTTGTTCTCTTGAGCTCCACCACCCACATCCACCACATCATCGGGGAGGTATTTCTTCCCCCTGATGATCCTGCTCTGACCCATCATTAGTAGTAGACCCCACAGTGTATATTGGCATTCACTGTGCATTGGCGTTGTGCATTCTTGGGTTTTAAAAATATATGGTGACATGTATTCACTCTTATTGTACATTGTGGAATAGTTTTTCAGCACTGTAAATTCTCTGTAAATTACCCACACATTTTTGAGGCTGGATCTGGAGAGGGTGGTGGGGTATTCCCAAACACGATCTAGTTGGCCAGCAATTCAATGCTACGACCTGAAGATGAAGTGGGGGGTCAACAAGGGCACCTGGTGATGCTCAGGAGCTTCCAGGGTTATACCTGACTAGTGCTTAGGGGTCTTCAGGGCTTCTCTGTGATCCTTAGCAGCCATATTCCACCAGGGATAGAATGAGGTTCAGGCTTGTGAAAGATGTGTGCCCTATACCCTGTACTATCTGCTGAGCCCACACATATTTTTCTTTATGGGGTGGGGGCAGGGAGTGACACCCAAGCAATATTCAAAAGACTCGGGGACTCAACTGGTCCTTTTCCACCAACCAGGCACTGAGGATGCAATGCTGCTTGGACTCTGGAGTTCTGAGGATACTGGATCACCCAAAGGTGTTGGAGGTTCTAGAGCTGCACCCAGGGGTGCTTTTCATGGGAATGGGGAGTGGATAAACATGTGGCACCCAGAATTGAAACTGGGTGCTTCTCATGTGCCCTAACCACTATACTATCTCCCAGCCCTCCAGTTACTTTTAAATACAATCCCAAAGTTTTCCTGGACATTTTAATGCTAAACCACAGACTCAGATTCTGAGTTTAGAATCCAGAAGGGCGAGGATTTCCACACAGCCATTGTGGGATGGATTGCTCTAAGTTTCTTTCAATCATAGAGGCACAACTGATTTCTAGTCTCTAAGTCCTGGGCTGGTAGAGACTTGGCACTCCATTAAGAGCTGTTGTTGCTTCTTAGGAAATGGCATAGGACCACTCTGTGTCTAGTAGAAGGTAATCTGAGCTCCAGAATTGCTGTCACCTCTCTGATCAGTAACATCCCTCAACAATACTCCCTTCTCCATGGATAAACCCATCATCACCACCTCTTCTCAAGACCTGAACCGGCAAAACTTTGCAACTTCTCCTATTCTTTGAGTGATTTGTATTCATTAAAATATAAGAGATATAAATTAGACCAGGATCATTGGGACCAGGAAAAGGACTTACAGATCTATTTAAAGGGAGAGCCAAGATTTCATAATTTCATTGAGATTGTTAGATTAATAATATAACTCAAAAGTTATTCGATAGTCATACGTTAATTTTACTCCAAAGAACTCTTGTAATTATTAAGTCATAACCAAAAAATCCAATTTTTTTTCCTTTGTGATATTTTATTTCCTGGGCAACATTTCACTGTGCAATTAAGTTGTGGTCTATTCACATTGTACTGACATCAGTTTATAAAGAGGGGAGAGCAAAACTTGCAAATATACCTTGAGTGACAAATTTGGAAAGGGACAAATTAAGGGCAAACACATGCATTGTTGTGTGCACAGGGAATAGAGAACTACAGAGAAATGAGAAGAAAAGACTTGGGGACTGGAGAGATAGGACAGCTGATAGGATGCTGCCTTTCAAGTGACCAACTGGGGTGCGATCTTCAGTATCCCATATGAGGATGAGCCCCACCCAGGAGTGATCCCTGAGTGGAAAGTCAGGAGTAATCTCTGAGCACTTCCAGGTATGACCTAAGAACAGTGACAGAGAGAGAGAGAGAGAGAGAGAGAGAGAGAGAGAGAGAGAGAGAGTCAGAGAGAGAGAGAGAGAGTCAGAGAGTCAGAGAAGGAAGAGTTCAGCTCTGTGTGTGTGTGCATGTGAGAGAGAGTTTTGCAATAATGAGTTTGCCTCTTCATGCAGACTGTAACCCTGTTTCCACCTCTTTCCCTCTGCAGAAAGCAGAGGGGCAATAGGAAAATACGAGACTGAGAGCAGAGAAGCCCTTCAAGCCTTTGCTCACTGACCTAATGACAAGATGAGCTTTGTTCACTCGTCACACCACACCTGGCTTCTCCTGGGATTCACCTTTCTCTGTGTGTGTTTCTGCAGTTGTGAAAACAAGCAGTTCTCAGTTTCTGCAGGATGCCCCAAATCACAGTTCCCTGGGCTGGGGAGTGGGGGCAGGGGGAGCGTCCTGTCCTGGGGTCTTTAATTAAGATGCTGGTGAGGAGAGTGTCTGGTCAGGTCTTCCGGACTGATCCCTAAGCTGAAGTAAATAAATGCTGGAATCATTCTGCTTCCCCTGCCTAGGGCACGGTCATTGGGAAGAGCCCTGTGAGGATTTAGGAATCTTCACTGTGGCGGAGACTGAACAAATTAGCCCTGCCGAGCTCAAGTGCCAAGTGCTTACTGGCTGCCCTCCCCTCTAGGTTTCAAGACTTTCCAGGATTTGACAAGAGAAGCAGAGCAAGAAAGACCTGTTCTTATAGTCAGTCTCCGCTGCTTCCTAACTGTCCAGCTCTGCCTAGATTATTTGACTTGTATGAGCCTCGGTTTCCTTGTCTCTAAAATGGGAATAAAAAATCCTTTCATGCAAGGTGTTGTGAGAAAATAGATGAACATTTTAGAGAAAGCCCTTGATATATAGCCTTCAGTTAAAGGCAGCTCCACCCATATTTCTGCCCACACATATTTATTTGTGTTTTTGTTGTTGTAGTATTGTTCTCACAACGTACCTTGGTCTTCACAGCTCTTTCATGGCTATTCCATGATGTGGCCAGATGGTGGAGGTGTGAAAATAAGAGGAAAGATGAGAATAGCATTTACTTTGCCTCTCTAACTAGAGAGAGATGGCAGGCCGTACCCCGCCAGGGGCAAGGGCGGTGGGGGTGGGGGATGATGGGGAAGGTAGGGGAGATTCCAGGACAAGAGAGAAGCACCCTTGGGCCAGTGCTTTATCAGCTAGCTTAGAATTGCATCAGTCCTATTGCAACATTCTCAGCCGAACAGAACAGTCCACGGTGCAGATGGCACAGGTCCACCACTGGAGGGTGGGGATGTGACTCATAGGTGAAGGTGTCCATCGTTTCATAGAACACAGCGAGCAACCCAGAGCAGGCTCCCAGCCCTTCTCCTCTTGTCCCTCCGGGTCCTGTGGGAGGGTCGATCCCAGGCAGTGCCAGCGACAATAGCAGGTTTCTTTCACACTCTGGTGAGTTTCATAGAGAACGAATCCAGACCAAGTCCTGGGCATGCTACCACTCCTTGTTTCTAAACAAAACCCCAATGAAAAAGAAACCACCCAAAAGCGTCCCTGTTGCCTTATTCACATCAGCGATACGTGAATGAGATGCTGAGCTATAGAATCAGAACCTGACCAGTTGTTACACTTAAAATTCTTCCTAATATTGTCAATTTCTAAGAACAGTTCCGTCGGATCATAGGAGAAGTGAAAGGCAATAGAAGAATATGTAACTGAAGTCATAAGCGTTTTAAAACCCATTCTCCTTATATAAACTCTCGTTTCAAGTCAGCACAGCCCACCCACGGTCCTTGCTCTAGGTTCCAAGGAGCCCTATAACTCATGTCAGCATTTATTGGGCTACATAAATACAGTACCTACATGTCAACCTGTCTAAAGAATCGGAAGAGAAACGGTTCTGAAACGTACTTTCTGGAGTGGTTCTCCTAGAAACCCACAACGTTTAAAAGAGCTTTCTAAAGAATTTTCCAGTCAGATCAGCAACTATTACACCCATTACCTCTGGCTTCTTTGAGTTTTAGGGGGTCTTTTCTTCTTAAAGATTTTATAATGAAACCTACTAAGAACAAAAACTTGCAGATGTTAAAGAGAATCCCTCTTGAGCTAGAGAAACTCTCCTGGAGGCATTAGGTACTCACCGGAATGCCCTGGGTCAGAGATGAACTTCCAAGGCCCAGAGGGATGCGGTGCCAGTATTCCTCTCCAAATCCCTGCAACTTTGCTTCTAAGAGTTCAGAATCTGTATTGGGGCGAGGCCAGGAGCCCGTGGGGTGAGGAGGAGGAGGGAGTGTTAGAGAGAGCCCTGCATGAGCACAGGCGTCCTTCTGGCCAGCACCAGCATCTCTCCCTGGCTCTGTGCCTCAGGAACACAGATTAGTCATTAACAATCCTTTCCCCGAGAAATGATATAAACACAGAAAGGAACCTCAGAGCGCCTCAAGATTCCCAGGGCAAACTCCCGGAGACCCTGAGATACCCTGAACTTCACTGTTTAAAAGACTGATTTCTCAGCTCCTGGTACCCAGATTCCTGCTCACCCCACACCCCTACACACACACACACACACACACACACACACCTATAATCTCTTGTGATTTCACCACTTTCCACGGGTAAGAAATCGAACCTTCTCTCCTGGGCCTCCCCTACCAAGCCATAACAAGAGATCAGGGTGGGGTCTACCTTTGAACTGTCTCTTTTCCTACTCACCCTGCACTGTGGGGCTGAGTCTGGCTTCCTTCCTGATAAACTAGATGGGGGTCCTATGCCATCTATCTTCCTAGCATTTTTTCTAACCCCGTCTTTTCAGAGATCCCAACTCTTGCCCACTATGGTGAGCTATTCCAGCTCCCTGAATTTGCCCAACCTCTTCCATTTCCTGGACTCACCTCTTCACACCCACGTGTCTATCCAGACCCCCACCACTCCACTTCCCACCCCACGACCCCATTCCCGCAATGGCTGCCGAGCTAGTCCCCCTCTACTCCTTCCAGCTAATATCCTGGCCTTTATAGCACTCACTGTCCAGTCCTCCTTCTAAACTTCCATAGGAGAGTTGTGAACTTCTCTGCCTGACACAAACACTTTTTCAGAGGACAGTAGCTGACCTGCACCTGCAACCATTCCAGGGCTAAGCATAGCACTTCATATGGAAAAAGTATTGCACAACTAATGGAATCAATGAGCAAGCTCAGGATAGAGCAACTTTCCCATGGAACCTGCCTGTGCACACGTATGGGTTTGTGCATGTGTGTGCGTGTGCACGCACCTGTGGGTGCTCCTCTGGTGAAGGGGACAGAGTCTCCACATGCTTGTTAGGTTCATTCTATTTTACATCTCATGCAGTAGCATTGAGGTCCTACAGTCTCACACTCCCTTGGCAATAGGCTTCGATAGACATAGGCTCCTGCCACATAACCAGCCCTGCAAATCCTCCCTCAACCAGTTGAAGAATCCTTGTGAGGCTCTTCATGGGGGTTCAGCAGCTCTGAGACCCCTGAGTCCCCACCCAGTTTCCCCATGGAAACCTGCTGTGACTTTTTTCTCTCAGTAGCAGCAGAAGGTGGTGGCTGCAGACGGACTGTGGAGTTGATTGCCTGCTTGCTATTGTAGTCGTTCCTGCTGCTGCTGTTACTGTTGGGGGGGTGCCAAACAGTGCTCATAAGATCTAGGGGTCTCACTGGTGATTCTTGGCTCACTGGACCATTGGTTCAGTGCAAGGGCCCGAGGATGTGATGCTGTATAGGTCCTATGGTGCTGTGGAGACCTGGGCCATCCAATGGTGCTAGCAGCCCTGGGGATGCTCTCAGTGATGTGCAGGGGACCACGTAATGCAGGAATTGAAAATAAGTTAGGGACACACCAATGTACCATTGCCTAGTCCCAGACTTCAGGCTTCAACTTAACGCATTGATGTCTTGAAAGATAGAATTGCAATCTGCTAAATAATGTTATGTGAGGGTGAACTGAATCAATACATCTAAAACACAATATATAATAATGTAAGCTCTCGGAGAGCCCGGCAAGCTACCGAGAGTATTGGATATGCCAGACACAGTAACAACAAAGTCTCCAATGGAGACGTTACTGGGCCCGCTCGAGCAAATCGACGATCAATGGGAGGGCTTTATTATTTATTTATTATTATAGCCAACTATAGAGTAATTGATGCACAGAAATGCTCTAGAGGACCCAATATTATTTTCTAGGTATTTTTATTCTATTGTATTTGCCCAACTGGACCAGATCTGAAACATCTCAGGATGTTGGGAGTAAAGGGAATAGATGAGAAAAGACAGTAGCGAGACTCTGAGACCTAGAGCCAGCTGATGGACACTGTGAAGAGAAGGTCAGTGTTTTCCAACGTGGTGACTTTGTTCTCTCCAGCAGCAGTAGAGGATGGTGGTTGTAGTTAAGCTGAGCTTCATACTCTAGTTATGTCCCTTATAAGATGTGTGACTTCAGGTTTGGTTCCCAAACCTGTTGGGATGGTATTAGGAAATAGAGGTGGGAAAGATGGGGGCAGTGGTGTGCTGGCAAAGATCTTAAATTAACAAATTAAATACGGAAATTAAATTAATTAGTAGCAATTAAACATTTAAATAATTTTCTTCATTATGTAGCTATGAAAGAGCAGCAGTATACACTATATATAAAACACATATGTACTCATGTGTTTTATATATATATGTATATATATATATGCCAAGCAGAGTAACAACAAGTCTCACAATGGAGGCATTACTGGGCCCACTCGAGCAAATTGATGAACAACAGGACAGTGCTATCCTTGTACATATATATATATATATATATTTAAGAATATGGGCTTCCCCAGAATGGAATATACCTATAAATTTTTTTATAAAAAACATATGTAACTCATGCTTGATAAAAGCAATAAAGTGGGGGTCAGGGAGATAAAACCAGAGCACATGCCTAACATGTTAAAAGCCTTGAATTGGAGTTTCAGCATCACATGCCACCTCCCCTCAACCCCCCAGAGTATTACCATGAGTAGCCTGGTGGTTCCCACCCACAATAGGTGGGCTCTTATGAAATAGCAAGAATAAAGTACCCATTCTGTGTATTATAAATTTCAGAAAGCTAAAAAATTCTTACAGCATACATTCATTGAGTTTGGCTAACTCTTATATTGGAAGCCAACTTACAGTTATATTCAATGACATTTTGGCAGATGTCATTGCATCCCAGTCCACCAATACTTTTTCCAATATATTTATCATCATAAAGTCACAAATGTATGATCTACTGTCACACTATAGCTTTTGTACATGTTGCAGTCATTAAACTGAACCCTCTTTCCAACTTTCAACAACCTTTTCACCTTTCCTCTTTCAACAACATATACTCTGGAAATTCACCTGTTCTTCAGTTTTTTGTTAAACCAAAGTTTTTCAGTACTGGAAAAAGGCTTCTTCAATTCATCACAACTTAAGTTATATATGACACACTCAAGTTGGAGCTGAATTATTCACTTTTTAACAAATTCTCCATCTCGTCCATCAAAGATCAACAAAATTTCTTCTTAAGGGACCCCGAAGCAAATATTCTCGGATCATACCTGGACTCTGTTATTTTGCAAACTTCTTTAAATACAAAAGCTTGAGGTTTGGGAGATAGCTCAAAGGGCTGGGCTGAAGCAATTTAGATTCTGGGTACGTTTGAAGTGGAAAGAAGTTGGGGGGGCAGGAAAAAGAATGCAAGCTTCTTTCATTCACCCTGTTATTGGAGGAAATGTGATAAACTTTCAAAGTCACCCAAAATCAGATACTAAAAAAACTATGTAACGTAAGTTATAGTATAATAAAGTAAATGATAATTTTCAGGGTGCCGCATGTAATCTCTCTTCTCTCTCTGTATTTTAATCACATTATACCTATACATATTTTAATTTCACTATATATCTATAATTAAAGATCTGGGTCAGTCTCTCCTCTTCTGTGCCTCTCCTTCTCTGTGTTTTTGAAGCTTTAGTCAATTCATGTAATCTAAGTCTCAGTTTCCCTACCAGGAGATGAGGTTGTTCAACCAGATGATTAACCAGGTCACTTCATGGTCTGTAGTCTCCTGTGTCTGGTGGAGGGATCCACTGTGTTGTGCTGGTCACTGTAGTGTCCTGAGATACATCAATAGGACTGCTGGGTGAGCTTGTCAATCTTAGTCACCCAGAACTCTCAGATTAATACTCAGTTGTCATTCTTTTGAAATCCCTAATTTTTCAACAAAGGCCCTGGGAGTGTTATTTTCCACTGAGTCCCACAAGTTAGGTAGCCAGTTCAAACTGTTGATTCAGACAATAGGAAGTCTTCTTAATAGGCAACTGGAATTCCCTTCTTTGGCACTGCTGAGACCTGAGCAATAGTTTCTTTTACTCATTGCTTAAAGTAAGAGTTTCTCAGAGGGTTGATGACACACATTTTAGAAGGCTGCAGTACACTAGAGCAACACATAAGGGAAGCTGTTAGAACTTTTGTTCTGACCAATGCTTGTGTTCAATTGTTCTAGCCCCAGCTGGAGTGAATTGTCCAAACTGCATTCAACTCCTCTTAAAAAGAATCTTAAAATAGGATGACCCACTTAATGCCATGTGCTGTCATATGGGTTAATTGGATGTAAAACATTTATGGTTGTTCCCTCAGTAAAATATATAATAGGAAGATGAAGGTCAGTATTGGGGCTGAGTGCTCTATTATATTCAACTGATTATATTCAAAACCCAAAGGTTGTTCAGAAATATTGCTAACAGGTAGAACAAAGGAGCTTTTTGTGTAACATGGCCCATTTTTTTTTTAAATCTGGAAAGGCCCTTATCTGTTTGGGAAATGTAGTTGATGACTCAGTGATAAGTTGTTTTCAGAGATAAGGCTACTTATCATCAGAAATGTGTTTTCAGGGACACTATAGTAGTAGCTGTGGGTATCTACAATATTTCTCTTGCTATTTCTCAGGGACTTAATATATGTCATGACAATGGAACAGAACCAGACATGATACAAGTCATGGATACTAGTCTCTTTGACTGTGAATCTGAAACATACTTCCTTTAGAATAAGAACTTATTATATCCAATGCCCAAAGGTTTTAATACGCCATTTGTGGAATTTCCCAATCAGACAAGGTCCCTAAAGTATTATTTGTTTTGTATTCCCTCAAATAACCTCATATTTACCTTCGCCAA